CTCGCTGGGCCCAGTCCTCTAGCATCACCTGGGTGCTGTGCGTGGGTCGCAATTTAAAATTGGCGACATGAGTGTTGGTATAGCCCAGCTTGCCAGCCAGATGTATCCACGAACCCCTAAATGACGCGGGGTTTAACAAGAAGCCAAGCTTCTCATACAAGTCAGCACTGACGTCCCTCAACATAACCTGATTGTCTAGGAGTGAAAAAACAAAAACAAAAACAAAATACTCCCTGAGAAGATTGCAGAAAAGAAAGTGCGTTAGATTCAACTAAACTCCAGCAATATAGTTATTATGATTTACTGAGCTGAATCATCAGCTGAAGAGTGAGGTCAAGATGACTAGAAAGATATTGGAGTCATTGTTGTTTTTGTTTTGCGTGTAGTCGGGGGCAATATCCAACCAAATTGATTGAACAAGCTTTGTCAATAAAGGATTTATTGTATGGCAGAAATTAAAGTACACTGTTTTCTTGCGGGACACTGCGGGTAATCCCGAGCAGGTAACACGGCTCCGTGCCTAAAATTTATGAAAGTGCCAAAAACAAGAACCTGGAGATGTCATACAGAAATGTAGAGATGTTAAAATAAGGTGTATTAGAATAAAACAAAGAATATATTTAGTGGAATCTTTTCCTTGAAAATTTAATTATTTGTTTAAAACAAACTCCAGCTCTCTTTCCCGCTGTGCGACACGTTACGTGATTAAATTGAGCTTAATCTCTTTCCATTTTCATCAGTCTAAGGCAATACAGGTCGAATTTTCAGAACTTGTCGCTAGCGACTGTGGATCAGCATTACTGAACGTTTCTTTTCCTGTGATTTTTTTTTTAAATTAGAGCATTGTTTTCCTCTGTATAAAAGTACACTAAAACCACTCCATTCGGGGTTTTCCTCTTGAAACTTGCAATTGCCAAAGAAGTTTTCTTCCCAGCGAGACTCTTTTGTGCTTTCAGGCAAAGTGGGAGTTCGAGTTTAATCACGATTGATCAGTAGAGATATAAAAAGGACTTGGATTTTGTTAAAATTTAACGAAAATTAATTTCGTGCCAGAGAACGAGTTTAGCGTGACGGCGTCAACTCAGAATGAATAAAAACTTAGCGGAAATGGCGTGACGCATCACGCATGACAAAGCAATAACATTGTGCCTACGCACGCAGGTCTTGAGATGTTTTGATTTTGAGTTCTTTTGAATAATAACTTTAACATAATGTATAACTCACCACGTGGAGTAATACTTGTTTGTTGACCATCCTGATCCTCATCTCTATTTGCAGGGTGGGCAGTAGGCACTTTGGCGTCTGTCGCGTCTGTCACATCGTCTTGTAGATTGTATTTCCAAAGTGGAAATCTGTTCTTCGGTTTATCGGCAACGACAGGGTCAGTTCCTCTGTGCTGTTTCCGTTTAAACTCCTTCAGTTTCCTCACCAAATCCTCTCGCTTTATCTGTTTAAGTAGATCTTCCAGAAGATTAAAGTTCTTGCTTCCAAGCTCTTTCCTTTGTTCGAGAACCAGAATAAACTCTGTAGCGCTGTCGCCGATGGATTCAAGTTCCCTGGCGGTCAGCAGGTCTCGGCATAAAAACTTCATCGAATGCAAATTTGTGATTGAAAGATCTTCACACAGAGAGAAAACGAATTTTCTGTACTCTGAGATGGACGCACCGCCCATCCTGTCGGCAAATTCACAGCTCAAAATAAGGTTTCGTATTAAAATCTTGCTCGAGCACGTGCGTATTACAAAAGGGGGCTCCCCTTATCCCAAAATGCATTCGGTGAAGTCAACATACGCGACGCGTGAAAAAAAGTGTGCGTGACAACCGAAGGCTGATTTAGCCTGTTCCAGGCTCTCGGTCAGTATGGGGATGGGGGACTGTCGACTGAAAAAGCGGGCGCCCGAATTTATCAACGAAACTCGTTTGGACAAAACGTCCTTTGTATAAGCCACGTATAAGTTCAAGAATATAGTTTCTACAAACTGTTTTCAGTGGGCCTTTGATGAGCGATGAGAGAGGGAGCCAGGTGATACATGGCCTCCATTTCCCATTTCATTTCATTTCCATTTCCTCCATTTCGTCCCGTTAAGGA